TCTCTCTCATCGATGTTTCTAACTCTATCCCTCTCCCTTCCTCTCTGTAAAAAATCAATAAAATATATTTTAAAAAAAAAAAAAGATGCCATGAGCTGTCTGGCAGCAAGCAATCATCCCTTTTCAAGTTTGGGGAAATGCCCTTGCCACTTCAGATGATTCAGCCCTTGCTGACATGCTGGAATTGGCTTCTGGCAACTTGATATTATGTATACATTGTGAAAGGATTCCCACCATCAAGTTAATTAACACATTTTTATTTTTTGGGGGGAGATGGGGAAGGACACAAGTTCTACTCTCTTAGCAAATTTCCATTATACAATCTATAATAATAAAAGGGTAATATGCTAATTAGACCAGATGAAGACAGGGCTGCAAGGGAAGCCTGGGTCCTGGGTGCCAGAGGGAAGCCGGTGCCGGCAACCAGGGGAAGGAAGGCCTACTCTTGCACGAATTTCGTGCATTGGGCCTCTAGTATAGATTAATCAACTGTAGTCACCATGTTGTTAAGCATTAGATCCTCAGACCTTATTCATCTTATAGCTGAAAGTTTGTACCCTTTTACCAGGCTCAGGCTCCCTGTATTTCCTCCATACCCAGCCTCTGCAACCACCATTCTGTTCTGTTTCTATGAGTTTGATTTTTTAAAAATTTTTTACACATATAAGTGATAAATGTAGTCATGCAGTATTTGTCTTTAAGGTGAAATATATGAATTTTCAGGAATATTGATTACTGTTAAGCATACAACTAAGATTCTGTGTTAAACTTACACTTTACAAATAAGCAACTAGTTTGGTTCATTACAGCATAATTTTTGAGGTAAAATATTTCCTTTTCTCTAGAAAAACTGGACCAATAGGAATTGTTTGGATGGAAAGTTTTAATAAGATAGAAGTTATGTCTTATTGAGAAGACTAATTACATGTATTTTTATTACACATATTATGATAGTCACTGTATAATTACCACTAGAATTGAGAAAATAGATTCCTTAGGAATAGTTTAAATGGATCTTTATCATTAATATTTATTTTTAGAAAAGAACTTTATGGGGAAAGCAGTTTCTTTTGGTCTAACATTCTAGTGAGGTTGTTTTATCTGCTAGACTTCTTTAGATACCATTGGAGTATGAATTGCTCTGAACCTGCTTGGAGAATTAGACCCCACATCTGAGGCTTTGGTGTACTTCATGTGTTCTGCTTAGTATCAGAGCAACAAGGGGGAACAATGCAGACCATTTAATGCTTAAGTATCGTCATGACGAGGAGTGTGTGTGCGTAGCTTTTGCTGGCAAGCACTGTATATAAGAAAGGTTAAAATGGAGAATCATTTGAGTTTCTAAAATGGATTAATTTACATTATTTCTAATGGGAAAAAATGATTCCATTTTCAAACGAATCACTTCTTGTACAGTTCTTCTGAAACAAATTCGAGAACCCAGGTTCCACTGTACTTACTACCTGTGTGCAAGATAGAGATTAAGTGAAAATTTTTGTTTTGTATTGAAGTCTACATTTCTTTGCATTTGTGTTCATTTGCCCCTTGTTCAAAAGTGGAATACAAGATATGGTTGAGAGTGGGGGTGGTTAAAGTATTGCTGTCCTTCATTTTTGGATAGATTAGAAGCATTCTAAGGTTGTGGTTAAAACTGATCTAGATTAGGTTTATATCACAATGCAGCTTTTGAAGAGCCTCTGCTCCACTCCCCCGGACAAAAGCAGCCTTTGCAGGACCCTCTTACAGTCTTCTGTAGGTGTAGAAATGTTCTTTAATCCGAGGGATACCAGTTCCTTGAAGTAGTTGCTAAGGGAGATGCCTGAGCACCCACATACCCTACCTGTTGACCCCACTGTCAGGATGGGATGCAAAAACTCAGCATCAGTCTAGCAGGTAAACAAAATTTATTATGTACTGGTAAGAGTTTTTATTTTAAAAAATACATTTTTATTGATTTTTAGAAAGAGATGAAGGGAGAGGGAGAGAGAGGTAGAAACATCCCTGATGGGAGAGAATCGTGGATCGGCCGCCTCCTGCACACCCCCCCACTGGGGATCAAGCCCACAACCTGGGCAAGTGCCCTTGACCAGAATCGAACCCGGGACCCTTCAGTGCTCAGGCCGATGCTCTATCCACTGAGCCACACCAGCTAGGGCCCATGATTCTCTCATCGTGAATGTTTGTCTCTCTCTCTCTCCCTCCCCCTTCTTCTGAGATCAATAAACATGTTTTTTAAAGCCACAATCAAATGAGCCGGATGCTCGCTTGAAGAGTTTCAATCTACCTTTTCTACATTAATACATTCAAAATAGTAAATATCATACCTTTATCCTAAATGTTTTTGGGTGGCATTGTGAATGATCCTCTTTAATGCACCATTTTACCTTTTACAAGTTGTTGAATTTCTAATTTCATAACTTCACGTGGATTTTAAGTAATGGATGAGTCATGTTTTATTATGCACAATTCGATAGTGTGTTTTGCCATTTGTCTCAGGGGACGTCCTCTGTACCAGCAGCCACCACTGTGTCTACAGTAGCATCTGGGGATCTGGATCTATTCACGGAACAAACGACCAAGTCAGAAGAGGTGACAAAGAAACAACTCTCCAAAGACTCCATCTTGTCCCTGTATGGCGCAGGGACCGTGCAGCCACAGAGCGCTCCTGGTAATTCATTTTGAAGTCTGCTTTCAGGGACTGCAGTGGCATTACTGGAAGTGAGCCTTTGTGGTTATAATATATCAATTATGTTTCTTCCCCATTTTTCTTTGTAATGAGTGTTTTTGTTGTTGCAATTTACACAACTACAAAACTAAAATGAATAAAGCATTAGAATTAAAAAGCAGGTACAGGAGTCACAGAACTTTATTCATTTAGATTAACAAGCTGTTCACATATCACTTAATGTTTCACAAGCTTTTAGGACATAGATTATCTTTGAATAATAATTTAAATTTGATTTGCATGAAGTTTATAACTGTACAGCATGGTATTTTCTCTTCAAGTAAACAATAAGCAGTCTGAATTATTACATGAATTCCAAAAAAGATTTGAGATTTAAAAAATAATTATAATAAATACTAGCAAGGTAAGATTTGTTGTTTACACAGTTTTAATCTGTCAGACTATCTCTTTTAAAATAATGAGATCCCACCTGCTTCCCTTAAAGCCAAGCATAGAGAACTTGCACCTGTGTATTTGGTAGTGGGAGACCAGTGGGTTAGGTTAGCAGAAACAGCACATCATCTCATGCTATGAAGGTTGGTCTTCACAATGGATATTTTTCTATCCATGTATTTATTCTAATTAAAATTGCTCAGGTTCATAACTGATTTGTCTGCTTCTGGAAATAACCAGCTCTGAGAGTGTAGGCTATGAGTTGATCTGAGCAGTAGGAGCAGCCAGACCAGATTAAAAATTTTGCTATGGGTAGTTAAGAAAAATGGTAATTGTTTTTCTGTGATTATAGAATTGAGCGCAGCTGTATACAGTATCCCTGTTCTCTTCATTTTCTTTTCATGGTTCTTATGATGCAGGTGTATTTATGGGACCCACAAATATACCATTTACCTCACAAGCACCGACTGCATTTCAAGGTTTTCCATCAATGGGTGTACCTGTGCCTGCAGCTCCTGGCCTTATGGGCAATGTGATGGGACAGAGTGCGAGCATGATGGTGGGCATGCCCATCCCCAATGGGTTTATGGGAAATGCACAAACTGGTGTGATGCCACTGCCTCAGAATGTGATTGCCCCCCAAGGAGGAATGGCTGGACAGATGGGTGCACCCCCAAGTAAGTTTGGACTGCCTCAAACTCAACAGCCCCCGTGGAACCTGTCCCAGGTAAGGGTCCTTTATTCTCCACTTTATCCAGAATTGAAGAAATCAGACTTTCTAAATTGTTTCATTTGTATTTAAATCTAATCTGGTAGAAAGAGGAGGGATAATGAAGTTGTATCAGATAGACAAATGATCTGTCTTTGTCCCTACTTGATATTCTATAAAGAAATGTGAAGTATTTTTTTCATTTCCAATATAACTGTAATCTAGTTATAAGAGCTAGAAATTATCTTGGCATCCTAAGAAACTCCCTATCACCTTTGAAATTAGTAACTCGCTTTAACCCAGCTCCCTGGTGGGGCGTTTGATAGTCTACTTTGGACCAACCTGTCTTTACTAATTTGGGAAGGGGTGTAGCTTTCATACATTAGGGAAAAAATCTAGGCTACTGTCCATGATTTATGAAAAATCTTTTTGTTCAAAAATCTCTATAGCATTGTATTTCCTTTTTACTTACCCTGTAATTATGTTTATATTTAGAAAGAGTACCCACTAGTTCAAGAATTCCCATAAGATATGGACAAGTCCATATTTGTTTCAGACATCCCTTCATATTATAAAATCCTGTTTCTACCTAAGTTAGTTTAGTGCCAAGATAGGACACATTACCAATACACTACCTTCTTCAAATGAGTTTCTCCATATTAGGTGCTCTGTCCTGACTTTTCTCCCCTTTACACTCCTCTTTGATAAGATCCCACCTGCTTCTAGAATTTTGGCTCATGTTCTGGTCAGGTGTTTCACCTTGAGAGCAAGGAACAGTCAATAGTGATTTCTAACCAACATTAGCAAAATCACTATATATCTTATGAATGCTCCGAGTTATTTTTACTATTTAAAATATATTACACTGGTCTCTAATCTCTGGGGATCTAAAAAATGGTAAGTACCAAATGGCAGTAACAGCTTGTGCGTGCCAGAATGCTGAAGTAAGCTCAGGTTAAGGTGCTGGATGAACCAGGAAGGAGTTGGCCCTTCCTTCCAGGCCTGCTGAAGGCTGTTCTCCAGCACTCCCTGCATGAGAGCCACTGGCCAACGACAAGGTGGTTAAAACAACCTTGAGTAAGTATCAGAAATGATCCTCCGCTATAGACACTTACATCTCATTAGAGTGATGTAATGTACATTAGTGTCTTTGAAAAACCGCAAACAATCCAATCCAACCCTGAGCGTAGGTTTTAACTCCACTCTGTACTTAATCCTCTTGTCTCTCCATAACCTGTCATCTTGGCGGTAAGAGCCACACATGACTCCAGTGGGAGAAAACACATTCAATCTTACACCTTATCAAATGATGAAAATTTTAGATGTTTGACCTTTTCTTTAATATTTACAAAGTATATAGAACCATTTAAGATGTTAATAAAAGCTACAATACTCAATTTCTAATTTTGGAGTATTTTACCTTCTAAAATTTCCTTAGTTTTTAGCAATACTTGAGTTGAAAGAACAGTGGACTCATTATACCTAGATACAAATTGAAAGATTGCTTTGGCACTTTTTTTTTAGTTGTGGTTAATCGTTTGGGGCAAGAAATTGAGTCTAGAAAATGAGTAAATATAGTACATTGCTAAAAATGGGAAGAAAGCTGTAGTTGCTTTCTGCAGAGAAATAAACGTGATGGTTGGCTTTGACTGATTTTTACATGGACAAAAAAATACTTATTTTAATTGCTATTAAGCTTCAGTATCTCTTTGAGGCAGCTTCCAATAAAATCGAGTAACTATTTAAAAATGTCTAACTGTGGTTAAAGAAATAAGAATTAAAAGTGAAGTGAGCTTCTTAAACTGAGCCCTGTGTTATCTCACAGGTGAACCAGCAGATGGCTGGCATGAGTATGGGCAGTGCGAGCCCTGCGCTGGGTTTTGCCCAGCCCCCCAGCACGACAGCAGGATGGTCTGGAAGCTCATCGGGTCAGACTCTCAGCACACAACTGTGGAAGTGAGGACTGCACACGAATTTCATCCAGAGCTACCACCTACATTCCTTGCTGAAATGCATCTAGTTCCCCTGTTTATTCATGTACATATATATTTTTTCTTTTTCCCCATTTGTTCACATTAAGAATTATCTGATTGACTGTGTTGGTTTGTACTGATTAAATTTGATGTGATGAAAAGCAGGTTGAAAAACTCATGTCCAGGGCAGCTTTGCTCATAGTTCTCATAACTTCATAAACCACATTATTTGAGAAGCTGCAAAATCAACTTGCATAATCAGTTTTACTCAATAAAATTATAGCTCTAATGTTTGCATATAAGGAAAATAGTTATCATGTTAGTAATACCTCTAACAGTATAAACCCCACCCCCAAATTAGCCAGTAAATTTGAATTTTATCTGCCTCTTGTAATTTGGATCTCCTCTTATGTACATAGTGCTAATATGATGACCTTTCTCTGCACTATATGCAAACAGGGTAACTAAACAAAGCCACTTTCAGTCCTTGAAGGTATATCCAGGTTTATGACAGTAATTGTGTTTACATTTTATGGTGCCTAGTATTGACAAAATGTTCTATCCCTATATTAAATAGATGAATCCATAGACTTTTTTTTGTGGGTTTCATTTCCTACAGTATATACTGCCACCAACCTTACATAAATTAATGTTGCTAAGTCAGGAATTGGGGACAAAATACTTGTCATCTGTTTCTAAAACCTGTTCAGTTCTACCAGTTATAAGGCCAAATGGGGAAAAAAAAGTAAAGTATATAAGATACTAAAAATGGTACCTGCAGTGTCATTAGCTGTACTGTACAAAGATCTTCCAGTTTAGTTGTAGAGAAAACATGCAGAACAAATGAAGACAGAAACACATTTTATACCAGCTGAATAGCTTATGTTAACTGACAAGCTCTGTTTAAACAGATGTCCATCAGATGTCAATAAAGGCTGTTGTACTGAAGTAAAATGAACAATACCTGAATGCTCTGTAGCCTAACCTCCAAACGTCCTCTTCCACACCCACTGCTGCTCCCAGTTACACCTCGATCTTCACTGTGTCCAGGTGGTACTTGGGCTCGTTGGCTAGATTGACCTTCTCTGTGCGAGTGTGCCACACAAGGACCTGGGGAGGGAGGGAAAGCTCTGGGGTAGCCAGCCTCAATGCCAGCATGCAGCCACATCAAGCAGCACATGAGACATGAATACCTTGGTGCAGTTATTTGCTTTCGGTTCCAGTTCTTCAACAGTTGTAATCTGTTTTAGAAAGTCAGATTCTTGCATCCCTGGCTGGGATCCACGGCGCTTAAATACAGCTTTTGGATTGGACAAGATGACTTGAAGGCTTACAGCAAATCCTTTGTGAGAAGTTTTTAAAAAACACAAAAAGAGAGAGACTTTAAAATATGGGTATACTTTTCTTTCGCTATATAAAACTTTGGTCACATGAAGAGCAATTTTATATGCTACTATGTGCCAGGTCCTACTTCACAAAGTTGAAAAGGAGCATTAGCTGTATTACAGTCTCAAGAAGAAAAGCAGTCATTACAATATAACGAGCTCGGTGCCTTCACCCGGCGGGGTGCGGGTGGGGATCTGTAAAAAGTCTAGTCTTGATAATAAAAGGTAGATTCTACAAGCTGCTATTTCACAGAAGTCATCACACCCAAAATTTGACACTCTGGGGACAACTGAGACATAAATGTAGTGGAAAAGCATTCACATTCAGCCTAATTGAGCTTGAGGTAATTATGTGAGAGCCCACCCAGTTCTGCCTCCTTTAACATCTCTGTGTGCACTTATCAAAACCAGCGCTGGTTTTCTTTGAGTTTAGAAGACAGGGATAAAAGGAAAGTTAGTTTGCTAGAACGAATAATCGGTTGGTTGATTTCTGATTTGGTTCAATCTGAAAAATGTGGGTGGATTGGAAATCAGTGTAGGATATATTAAGCCATTTAATAAATTTGGTTTTTTATATTTCATTTAAAAGTACGTAGTTTTATTGATTTCAGAGAGGAAGGAGAGGGGAAGAGAAACATCAATAAGAGAATAATTGCTCGGCTGCCTCCTGCATGCCCCTACTGGGGATTGAGCCCGCAACCCGTGCATGTGCCTGACCTGGGATGAAACTGACCTGGTTCATAGGTTGACACTGAGCCATGCAGGCTGGGTGATATATTTATTTTTTTTAAGGAAATTATTGTCAATTTCCTTCAATGGTTTGGTCTTAGGAAAGATAATTACTATTTAATCTGTAGTTTAACAGAGTGTCCCTTGCTTTCCCATTAAACACTCTATAAGCTATCTGAGCAAACAGATGTTAAGACCTTTGTAACTGAAAGCCTGAAGCCCAGCCCGCTGCTGTTAATGTCTAAGCTGACACTAAAGTTAGGCTATGAGGACCTCCCCGTGTTAAAGGTATGAGGACCAATCCCTAGGAACATTGCTTAGCAACTTTTGCCCTTCTCTACATTAATGGAATTGATTTATGCTTATTTTTGCAAAAGTATACTTTGCAAAGTAAGAACCACATGATACGAGGCAGTAATGGGGGAACTGAGGAAAACCACAACCAGCATTCTCAAAACCTCTCCAGATGCAAGGTGGGCCAGTCCCATGTTTTAGATGCTGCTGTCTTTATGGGAAAACTTCCCACTCAACTACGTACAAACACCTTGGTACAGCGTGTGCCGAGTGAGACAGGACACAGGATTATAAAGCATGAGCCTGAGGACTGGTCCGAGCACATTTCACCAACCCTGGGAGGGGCAGCACGTTCGAGCAGAAAGGCCACAGAATCTGAAATTTGGAGCCTTTTGGTTTTGCCTGGGTCCCTGCACCTGGGACACTGGTCAAGTCCCTTCACCTTTTCTTGATTCTGAAACTTGCCCCATTTCGCATCTGCACGCGAGGTGCGGTACCTTTTCAACTCGGTGTCTGACGTAAAATTTGTGAATGGAAAAACACTAACTGCAAAGCTCCCTCCAAAAGATAACTGCACTGTATAAATAATACCACTGTCAATGTCGTGAGGGGCAGGTGGGATTAGCCACCTGCCTCAGCTGACAGGGAAAGGGCTTGTGAAAAGTCTAGGTAGCCAGCCAGGCCACCTGCTTTTTCCGCCACTTTGCTAACAAGTCTGAAGCCTCCTCAACCAAAAGCCAAGGTTCAAATTCACACACAAAGCATGGCTTTTCTAGTAGGTCAGCTCCAATTTTAGTATTAAAAGGTTCCTGGCTTTTTTTGTGAGCTAGTAAATACGCTTCAGCTTTGTTTCCTTCTCCCTCCCACTGAAGTGGCTGGTCTGTTTCTCACGTGGTTTTCATGGTGTTGGTTGTATTTCCTCATTCTCCTAAAAATACAGGGTCCAAACTTGATTTCCTTCACTCCCCACTGAGACTTCAGCACCCTCATTCAGATGATTTTCTTGCTCTCCTTGGCGCAGGGATATCCATTAGTTTTTAAAGCAGAGTCCCATGGCAAGTCTGCAGCTTGAAGCGGAGCAGCCAGCCAGCAGTGGGCCCATCACTGTTGCTCCAAGGCCCTTTCCTGGATTCCCTGGACCAGGGGATGGGCCTGCAAGGCTGGCACCCTGCAGAGGGCTGAGTGGGCAGCTGACCATAGGAGCCAAGTGGTGGTCTATTTTCTATCACGCTGAGGGGTGGGCAGTTCAGATGCTCTTCGCTCCCACCCCCACTTTCTCTGCCAGGCTCCAGCTCAGTGAGCCCTTCAAAGGAGGCAGGTCACAGGAGCACAGCACAGGGACAGTGTTAACTAGGCCAAGCCCTGGCTGCCTTTTTGGGAATCATGTGACCTGCTGTGAAGCCTGGGAGAGAGCTCTCCCTCTGGAAGCAGGACTCTTAGCTCCTAAACCACTGCTTTCAACCCAAGACGGGTATCTTGACTTGTCTTCATTTCAAACTGTATATGCCTCAAATATTACACTTCCCCTTCACTATTTTTAGTGAAATTAATTTAGCTTTAAAGATGTTTGCAGTGGCTACTGAGATACCATGAGCCTTACAAAAATCATGGGAGTAGGATCCTCTGTCCTGGTCCGGTGTACAAAAAATAAAATACAAATGGAACCTGGTTATGCTGTGAATGCAGCATTTCCTGACTTGCAGTGGCATGGGGGACGGGTAAGGATCTATCTCCTCTCGGTCAGAGGGACAGGGCCTGCTTTAGTAGGTGCTTATTGATTAATAAATGGAAACATTTGGAAGACATTCAAAGTCCAACAAGTAATTTCCACTTGGGGACAAGATGGAGCAACAAGGGGTGGGTTTTCCCTACTGTCTTACCTAAATTTAGAGAAAATGTTTGAAAAAATGATTTCTAGACATTGGAAAAGAGGCGTGCAGGACAAAGATCTCTGAAAAAGAAAAAAAGAAAAAAACACAAGTCCTACATTTGCCTCAGCTTCTTGTCTGAAGGGAGCAGCCCACAGGCTCCACCGTGGGGAGGGAGCTCACAGCTCTGCAGGCCCTAAAGCTGAGGAGACAGCAGAGAATCCCAGGAGGCTGAGCCAGGAGAATCCACAGTACAGAGCACGAGAGAGCCGCTGGCCTGCAGAGGGCTCCACTCACGTCCAACTGAAGATCAGAAAATGCTCTTGTAACTCCCTGCGGCCCAGGAAAGAGCCTGGAGAGAAGCAGGTGGGCTGGTTCTTGCAGTTCACTCAGGGCTGGGTTAGGTCACATTCCCAACAGCCAGAGTGGAATGGTAGTCGGGGCACCTGGAAGAGGAGCTGGAAGATTGTTGTGTTCACTGTGGGGTCACATTAGCCCTAACCTAAAGGTTGCGCTGGTCCTGCCTATCAAACCTTTAAGAGCAAGCCCAGAAAGGATCACAATGCTTCTGAATAACTAAGTTGTATCCCAGAAAAATGTAAAATACACATAAAGGGGAGGCAGGTCAGATGCGCTTCACTCCTAATCTGGATGTGTGTGTTAATGTATGGTATACATAACATAACACAAATTAACATGTATCTTTATAGTATCTAGCAACAAAACATTCAAAATGCCTGATACAAAAATTCCCAGGTGTACAAAGAGGCAAGAAACTATAATCCTGTAATTAAAAGAAAAATCAGTCAACAGAAACAAACCCAGAAATGACACTGGTGGCAGAATTATAGAACAAGGGCATTAAAACATTATAAATACTCTTCATATATTAAGAAAGGTAGGGGAAAGATTGAACATGCCAAGTAGAGATATGGAAGACATAAAAAGTCCTAGAGTGCTGGCCACAGTGGCTCAGTGAGTGAGCATTGACCTATGAACCAGGAGGTCACTGTTTGATTCCCAGTCAGGGCACATGCACAGGTTTTGGGTTCAACCCCCAGTAGGGGGTATGCAGGAGGCAGCCAATCAATGATTCTCTCTCATCATTGATGTTTCTTTCTCCCTTTCCTTTCCTCTCTGAAATCAATAAAAATATATTTAAAAATATAAAATAAAAAGACCCAAAGCAATCTCATTGTGATGGAAAATACAATGTCTTGAGATGAAAAAACCTACTGGCTAGGATTAACACATGATAACACATTAGAAGACAATGACAGAAACTACTAAAAGGAAACAAACACACGTATGTGAGTACAGAAACAGTAAAGGAATGAAAGATGGGAGAAGGGGTTAGAAACGTATATTTGAAGAAATAACTGAAAATCTTACAATTTAAAAAAAATCCATAAGGATATACTATAAGACAGACAACACTAACAACCAACTTGATATTTACAGAGCAAGCCGCCCAAGGGCAGCAGAACACACAATCTTTTCAAGTAAGTATACATGGTACTTGAGATAAGCTTATAGCAGGGCCATGAATCAATTCTCAATAAATTAAAAAGAATACAAATTGTACAAACTATTTCTCTGACCACATGGAATTAAAATAGAAATCAATAATATAAAGACATCTGGAAAATCTAATATTTGGAAACTAAACAACATAATTCTAAAGATATGGCTCAAAGAAAGAATCAAAAGGGAATGAAAACAGAAAAAGCCACCAAAATCTATAGGCGGCATCTACAGCAGTACTTACATGGAAAATGAGTATTTTTTTTAAGTACTAAACACTTTTATTAGATAAAAAGAAAGGTCTTACCTCAATGTCTTAAGTTCCTACCTTTATACACTAGAAAGAGTAAATGAAACCCAAAGCGAATAGTAAAAAAAGGTATGAATAAATTAAAGAGCCAAAATCATTGAAATAGAAATGGAAAACAATAGAGATCAGTGAAATCTAAACCATGCCATTAGGGGGAAAAGGTCAATAAAATTGATAATATCTACCCATACTTAGGGAAAAAAGAACACACACATTACCAATACCAGAATGA